GAAAAAAAAAATACCAGAATGAGAAATTCAAAGCAAAATTTGGCTCACTGGCTCAGATGGTATGAAAATCAACCACTTGCGATGCTTAATGGGAAGCTATAGATAAGTTAATAGGTTTGTGAACAAATGTCCCAAGGTTTCAGCTCGAGGTATGATTTCCCAATCCAAGCAATTTTCTACCCTGAGGGTAATAGTTTTTACTCAGATTTTGTCCAAAGAAACTATCACTATTTCATATTTTTCTTCCTTTTCCTATTTTCCTAATAAAAGTGTTCAGTATTCTTTGGTGGAATTCTTCCCTACTGTTTGATGTCATGACACTTTCTTGTCATTTGGAGCCTCTGGTGCTAACCAGAGCAGTGTATGATAGATACTAGAAGGTGCATTAGTTAATTAGGTTATATCTTATATTCTTATATAATTCACACAATTGGCTACTTAACAAAACTCAGCTTCAAAGTTGTGTGATTTTATTTGTGGTATTTTTAAGTAGTGTTTTATTTTTAAATTTGATATATGCTCGTTAAGAACACACCGTTGGGGGGAAATGGGGGAGGGGCGGGGGGTGTGGGGAGGTGGGAAGAGATAGCATGGGGAGAAATGACAGATACAGGTGAGGGGACGGAAGGCAGCAAAGCACACTGCCATGTGTGTACCTATGCAACAATCTTGCATGTTCATCACATGTACCCCAAAACCTAAAATGCAATAAAAAAAAAGAACACATACTAGCAATTAGTCACATGTCACTATAACTGAAAACAAAAATCATTTGGAATAACCTCAGACAAACCTGATGACCAGAAATATTAATCACGTGTGGAGTTCTTCTCAGCTACTTAACAACTGGGGTGATAACTTTGGGTCTCCTCACCCTGGTCCACTCTTTTCCCAAACATTCAAACATTCACTTGATCATCTTTGTTTGCTCTGAAACTCTCTGATACAATACTATTATATTGTTTTGCAAGCAGTAATACAATTTGGAAAATGAAAATGAGAAAGTTGTAATTTTCTTAGAGCAGAATGACATTTCAGCTCAAAGCAGCAGCATCATCTTCTTAGAAACAACTCAGGTCCAGAGAAATACTGTGACTTGCCTAAGGTTGCACAGACCTAGAATCCATGATCCCAACCAAATATCTTCTATGTTAGTCTTATTTCCACTGTACTGATTCTTTGTTTCTATTTTCTAGTTCATTTATTTGTCCAGTGTGATTCACTAATAACTACAGCAAGGTTAATCATAATAATGTTAGTGAATTATTCTAGACACTTATGAAGCACCTACAATGTGAAACCTCTGTAAAGAATTTTTTAAAAAGTAATCCTGTTTTATTCTTACAACAGCAAAGATGAAAATCATAGGTATTACCTACATTTTAAAGAAAAAAAAAATTATACAGATGTATCATTTAAGTTTCTGTAGTTAGAAAATGAAGGACCTGGGATAGGAATCTCACATGTATGCTTCAAGAACTTGAAAACCTGTTTTTTTTTTTTTTTTGTTACCTGCTCATGACATAGTAAACCTTTTTCTCTGGCTTGGATTCATGGTTTGGGTTTCTATATTTAGTGTGTTTTCTCAGAATTTAGCTAGAGGAGCAGACTATAAAAATGACCCCTATTCTTTACTCCTTCCTTAGCTCTCTGTAATGAAAAATTTCAGTTTTTTCCAACAAGGAGTGAGATCTCTTTGTTCAATGTTTTCTATTTTGATTTGTTTTGTTTTTAAGATGGAGTCTCACTCTTGTTGCCCAGGCTGGAATGCAGTGGCCCTATCTCAGCTCACTACAACCTCTGCCTCCCATGTTCAAACAATTCTCCTGCCTCAGCCTCTGGAGAAGCTGGGATTAAAGGTGACTGCCACCACACCAGGCTAATTCTTTGAATTTTTAGTAGAGACGGGGTTTCCCCATGTTGGCCAGGTTGGTCTTGAACTCCTAACCTCAGGTGATCCACCTGCCTCGGTATCTCGAAGTGCTGGGATTATAGGCATGAGCCACGATGACTGCTGCATTTGGACTATTTTTGTGAATTGCATGGCCAATATAATGCAACCAAGGCTAGTTAGCATGTAATGAACAAAGAGACAACCTGCAGAATGGAAAAAAATATTTGCAAACTATTCAACTGACAGGGGGTCAATAGCCAGAATATATAAGAAATTCAAACAATTTAATATTTTTTTAAAAGTCAACAAATAATCTAATTTAAAATGCACTAAAGATCTCAATAGACATTTCTCAAAAGAAGACATACAAATGGCCAACATCAATAATCATCTAAAAACTGCTATTCAAAACTACAATGAAATATCATATCACCCCAGTGAAAATGTCTTTTGTGAAAAAGACAAAAAATAATGGATTCCAGTAAGGATGCAGAGAAAGGGGAAAGCCTGTACACTGCTGATGAAAATATAACTTAGTACAACCACTATGGAAAACAGTATAGAGGTTTCTCAAAAAGCTAAAAATAAAACTACCATATGGTCCCAAATAAAGGAGATACATAATCAAAAGAAAGGAAACTCAGTACATCAAATAAATATCAGCACTCCCATGTTTACTGCAGCACTAGTCACAACAGTGAAGATTTGGAATCAACATAACTGTTCATCGGTGGATGAACGGATAAAGAAAATGTGGTCTATATACACAATGGAATAGTATTAAGCCATAAAAAATAAAATCCTGTCATTTACAACATGGATGAAACTGGAGGACATTATGTTAAGCGAAATAAGCAATGCAAAGAAAGACAAGTATTTCATGTCCTCATTTATTTATGCAAACTAAAAAAAATTATCTCATGAACATAGAGGGCAGAATGATGGTTCCCTCATAAAATTAGGATTACCCCATAATCTTTCTGTTAACCTACTTTTTCAACTTACCAACATATTTAGACTTAAAAAATCAATAGATGTAGACTCTCTTTATGGTATTAATAGTTATGAAATACTAATTTAAGGGATTTTAGCATAACACATTTAACTAAGTAGTTTTCCTTGATACTTATGTGGTTACCTAGTGCTCACTACTTTAAGCATCATGGCAATAAACATCCTTGTACAGTTATCTCTTTCTCAGATCATTTCCTAAAAAAGATGGTGAATGGTTAGTCAAGGGATATATATACTGAAATCAGTGATATATATTACAAGATTATAATCTGGAAATGAAATATCAATTAATATCTGTATCAACATTGCTCTCTTGAAAAGTCTGTGAGGGCAGAAGACTGAAAATATGTTGAAGGAAAAAAATGTGATAAATACCAGCCCAAGAATTAAAGAAGAAAAGAGATTCTGCTTAGGTAGGGTTCATGACAATCTTAGTAATTCACATAGAAACTCAATCTGGTTTAATATGCATGTTTTTTTAGGTCACCATTGTAACAGGCCTTTCTTGCATTGCTATAAAGAAACTAGAGGACACTGAGTAATTTATAAGTAAAGAAGTTTAATTGGCTCACAGTTTTGCAGGGTGTATAGGAAGCATACAGCATCTGCTTCTGGGGAGACTTTAGCAGGCTTCCAAAAATGGCATAATGCAAATGGGGAGCAGCTCATCACATGGCAAGAATGGGAGCCAGAGTGAGACAGAGTGGCAAGGGCAGAGACACATACTTTTAAACAAACAGATCTCATGAGAACTCATCATCATGAGAACAGCACCAAGGGGATGGTGCTAAACCATTCACAAGAAATCCGCCTCTGTGATCCAATCACCTCCCACCAGGTTCCATCTCCAACACTGGGATTTACAACACAACATGAGATTTGAACAGAGACAAAAATACGAACTATATCAACCACATAGATAGGTCTGTTTTCCTGTATACATTGAATATAGTATAATGATAATTTCCCATTCATCCATATCGGAAATTGTCAAATGATCATCTTTTACCTTTGCATATTTTTCTATTGAATTATCTTAACTGTTCATTATTGCTTGTAAAAGTGCTTTAAATGTTAAAGATATCCCCTATTGTCACATATATTGTCAGAGAGATTACAACATATACAAGTTTTTAACAATACCTCAAAGCCAATTTTAATTGTACATATATATATACATATATATATATTCTATCTTCTTGTATCCTCTGAATTTATTACAGCTATTACTGTATATTCTAAATTGCTTGGGTTTTATCATTTTTGATCAAATACTAATTGTGTAGAGGACACTGAGGCCAAAGTAGTAGAAGCTTGGCTATGTTTTTCAAACGTTTTCGAGTAAATTCCTCAGACAAATACACCAAGACAATGTTGTGTCTCCGGGAAAAACAATTATGGCTAAGAACAATTAAGTCCACTGGGAGAAAGACAGCTCATTGCATAAGCTTTATTCTCCAGTGGGTCAGTGTTATCTTGGCATACAAAGGATGACACATCATTAATGAAAACCAGGAGAGAAAATGTTTTTAAGGCTATCAAGTTCCCAAAAGTCAAAGGTCAAACTAAAACATGTCAGAAGCTGTCAAAAACATGTTATTTCCATGATCATAAACGTGTTTATGAACAGCAAGGCTAATCACATGGAAAAATTACAAGAACAAATTCAAAGTTTTTAACGTAAAAGGACTCTGGAACTTTTTAAAAGAAACCCTTCTTTAAAAAGAAACCTGCATGTTGAATTCTGTCACTCTTCTCATTTAAGAAGCATTAAGTTTTCTAAAAAACCATGATAATAAGGATTATATCTGTTATCTGTGGCAAGTTTATGTATAAACGTTGTATACCAGCAAATCTGAATACATCTGCTATTAAAAGCACAAGTGTGCCCCCTTCTGAATAAATGAAATATTGAGTCCTATATTTACACAAAATTACCAACTCCCTTCATTCTGGACCATTAGTATTTGGGCAAATACTGATGGAGAATTTCAAGAGCACTATTTTCTAGAAACATTTATGATTGGCAAAATTCTAAAAGAATATTTAGATGAAATCTGCTATGTCTTTTCATATGTGTTTGTTTCCACAGCTGGAATCCTCTAAAATAAGTCACCAGGAAAAAAATTCTGATCTTATTCTAGACAAAGAATGAAAAGCCAGGAAGTTACATAACCCAAAGTAGAGTGGAAAGAGTTGGGTAGAGAGTTGGCAACTGTTTTGGAAACTGAAATAGTGTTAAAGATGTCAGGAAAATGTGAAGTGACATTCCACTAAGACAGTTCAAAGATGTTTTGAAAAACAGTAGCTATGTAAGCTATGTACCTTGTGTTGACTTAAGTTTGACTTTGTTCACTTAGTTCTATAGCTGAAACAAGTCCCAGAAGGATTAAGTAGGTTTTCGGAAATTACTTAATGACTAAGCCATATTTTTCTACCTTCAGTCAAGTGCTCTACCTACAAGAAAAAATGGTGATCCAAATGAGCTATTCTGGTATATTAACACATATTTAATAGATTACATCTAGAAAACGATTTCAATCCAGATTCTTCTCTTACTTCTCCTTCTGTAAATTCAGAGCCAAATCAACTTTTGACCAAAATATGGTACCAGGTTTGATATACTTATCTTGGGCAGTGTGGCACTTGACTATTTTAAAGTATCATGGAAATAAAATGTGGATGATGATGAGGAAGATGGCAATGACAATAGCAGTTGTTATGAAAATGAAAATGTACTTTGTCATAACATTATTAAAGGATGACAGTTAAATGATAGCTTAAATCGTAGTTAAATGATATCCTAAGTCATCTGATAAACAGGAATTAGTTTCTAACCAAGTTCTCCAATTTATAATCAGAGAATATTGTGCCTTGTCTTATATTTGCTTATATTTTGGCAAAAGTAATTTGTCTCATTTTAAACACAAAGGTTGACTGATTAAACCTATAGCTACTTTGCTAGTTTTACTGTGATTGATAGCTAAATCAGTTACCTTCCTTCTAAAGTTCTGTAAATTTTAATACATTAGAAAACTAAATATGTATACAAATTTTACCAGTATCTGCCTTTCTTTACTGATGTATACATTAGAAACTAATTTCATCAGTCTTTGTTTTCTGATTCACATAGAAACTCAATCTGATTTAACATGCATTTTTTTTTTTTTAGATTACCATTGGGTGAGGCCTTCCTTGCATTGCTATAAAGAAACTACAAGACACTGAGTAATTTATAAGTAAAGAAGTGAATCATTTATAATTCATTTATAATTGGCTCACAGTTTTGCAGGGTGTATAGGGAGCATAGCAGCATCTGCTTCTGGGGAGACTTTAGGAGACTTCCAATCATCACAGAATGGAAATGGGGATCAGGCTCATCACATGGTGAGAATGGAAGCCAGAGTGAGAAAGAATGGTGGGGCCAGAGCCACACACTTTTAAACAAACAGATCTCATGAGAACTCATCATCATGAGAATAGCACCAAGGGGATGGTGTTAAACCATTCATGAGAAATCCAACTCTGTGACCCAACCACCTCCCACCAGGCTTCATCTCCAATATTGGGATTTACAATACAACATGAGTTTTGAACAGGGACAAAAATATGAACTCTATCAACCATATAGACTAGGTCTGTTTTCCTGTATACACTGAATGTAGCATAATGATAATTTCCCATTCATCCATATTAGAAATTGTCAAATGACCATCTTCTACCTTTGCATATTTTTCTACTGAGTTATCTAAAATATAGATAAAAACAAAAGCAAATATTGATGAAATTTGTATAAATATTTGGGATTTTCCTCTCTTCAGCAAACCCCTTCACTTCATGGCTATTTGACTTAGATCAGATCTAGTTTTCCACATGGTATTTAAAATTCATATCTTTTAAGAATGAAGCAAATTATTATTTTCTATGTATTTCCAGAAAGCACTAACTTCTGACGTTATCAGAACTTTGGAGGAAATAAACATAAGTTTTTAACGAAGTAAATACAATCTATCACCAGTTTAAATTCTTTTCCAATACTATTCGTTCATCATTCTACAAAGATTCTACACAGAATCTTTCCAACACTATTACTCAATAAATTCTCCAGAATACTGCATTAATCTACTTAAGTGCTGAATCTTTAAATTGCTGTTCTCAATGGATAAAACTGACTGATAAAAGTACATTTATAAATATCAGTTGCCATATGGTTTACACTTTTGCTAATGATCAATCACAAGATTAAATCAATCATTGGACAAATACCATTATAAAACTGTGAAATGTTTATGCCAATTCTCTTCTTTTCTTCCCAAGTAACATCACTAACTTGTGCCAATATTTACAAACATTTAACCTGTACCTCCTTTCCTGCTATAAGATTCAAATTCACCAATCGCAGTTAGAATGGCCACCTATTACTTGGCCAATGTATTCATTTTAAAAGAACATTTACTGAATCAACATATATAAAATATCTTTTGGATTTAATTAATAGGCCTTGTATATTCATTGCCAAAAATATGTTCTCAACTAAAACATACCCTATGATCATCAATTCACAGAGTTGTTGCTGATTATTCCTAACTGTGCAACAAACCATCTTGTAGAATAAACAACCTCCATAGTTCTTATTTTGAAAAACTTTAAAACATTCAGACTAGTAATTACATTGAATGATAGCTTAATTTAAATTGTAAAAGACCTCTAGTGGATTGTTTATGTCATTTACACTGTGTGATATGTTTCACACAGAAAGAAGTTATACATACTCATGAATCAATATGTACAGTGAAGGATTAATATTCAAACAAATGCATTTTATTCTACTTTTTAAAAAATTATAGAAATTGATCCCAGCCTTCCTACTGCCACTTCTTGCAACTTACACACTTCATATGTCCACCATCTCTTTTCTTGGCCCTTGTAAGACATCATGTATTTTTCACCTAATAATGATGTAAATATAAACACTCTTAATATTTACATTTCATCAGAAGGTTTTGTTCATGTATTTGTTTTGTGAATTGCTAATGTATTATCAGCACGGCATCCAGTTGTCTTTCTTAATTGTGAATTACTTTGCATTTGTGAGCTTGTTAACTGTAATCACAAACTATCTTTATTGCCTGGGCTTAAAGAAAAGGCGGGAGATGCAGACCTGACTGATCACCATATTCCATTCCCTAGACTGTAGAGCTTGGTTCAAGAACGGACACCAACTAAAACTAGTCCAGTCTCATTAGAGTATTGCAAATTAAAACAACAATGAGATATCACTACACACTTATTAGAATGGTACAATCCCAAACACTGACAAGGACAAATGCTGGCCAGGCTGTGGAGTAACAGCAACTCATTCATTTAGATAGAAATGAAAAAAAGGTATGGCCATTTTTGGAGACAGTCTTAGAGATTCTTACAAAGCTAATCATAGTGTTACCATATGATCCAGCAATTACTCTTGTTGGTACTTCTCCAAATGATTTCAAAGCTTATGTCCACACAAACCTACACACAAGCATTTCCAGTGACTTTATTCAAAACTGCCCAAACTTGGAAGCATTCAGGTTATCCTTTGATAGGTGAATGATAAACAAACTGTGGTATATCCATGCAACAGAATAATACCCAGTGATGAAAACAAGTGAGCAAGCTCTAAAGCCACACAGAAAGGAATCTTAAGTGCATATAGCTAAGTGAAGGAAGCCAGTCTGTGAAGATTACAAATGGTATGATTCCAACTATATGACATTCAGGGAAAAGGAAAACTTGAGAGACAGTGAAAATATCACTAGTGGCCAGGAGTTTGGCAGGATAGAGGGAAACCTGAATAGGTGGAGCACAGAAATTTTAGAAGAGTATTCTGTACGATTTTGTAATGGTGAGTAAATGACATTACATATTTGTCAAAACACATACAACTCTACAACACAGAAGGTGAACTCTAATATAAGCTATGGATTTTAGTTTATAATGCTATATCAATACTAGTTCATCAGTTGTAATAAATGTACCACATCAATACAAGATGTTAATAGGGAAAACTGTGTATGAAGTATTACATATCTTTGGGAACTGTCAGTATTCACAGCTCAATTTTTTGATAAACCTAAAAGGGCTCTAAAAAATAAAGTCTGTTAATTAAAAAACAACTGGTCAAATGAATCACAGTTCCAAAAACTCCACTGGTGTTACCTGGAAAGAAAATAACAATAAAGGCTTCTTAGGGATTAGGGATTACCATATAAAGAAAGCCTACCCATAAATAAAGCCAATATTATATAAATTGAGGTGAATAACAGGAAAAGAGTGAGAAACAGAGATGGACTCTTGCATCTTCTTTTTCCTCTGAAGGTAAGCTATGCTTGAATTTGGGGCTACCTCTAGACCTTTTGGGCTACAGCTACCTCTAAGCCAATGGAACCCTTTTAGGTCATAATGAGTTGAACTCCTAAATAATCTAGTTTGATATGTACAAATAAATATTGCAGTGCTAATTTTATTTTTAAAAATTATTTAATTTCTAAGTTGATGGAAATGCAGTGCTAGATTTAATTATCAGAAACACAGCTCATTTTTAGAGTTGAGAAGGGAACATTTCCAAATTATCTTGCTAATATATCACCAGAAATTTGGTTAAAGGCAATGAAACAGATTTTATTTAAGTAGCACTGGGTATGGAAGAGGTCTAGACAGTCAATGGAATTCCCACAGTAGCTGCTGTGGAACAAACGAAGTCAACAGGTAGGGGCTGACAATGAGCAGGAAAGGCTCCCAAAGTGAACAACAACAGCTTCTCTGTTTTATTTACTGGGCATCTCTGTAAGTATTTCTTTGAACAAAGGAATATTCAGTCAATACAAAGTATAGAAGACACTATATTTGAACATGGGTAACTGCCAAGTTCAGGTCTTGCTCCATTCTAGACCTCCAAGAGAAGCATGGAGCAGGAACTGAAACACATAAACAATAACCTGGAAATTGAATTTAGTGGGCATTTATTATTACAACAGATCGATTGGCTGTGTCAGGTTAACCAGCCAACTTTCTCAGAAGAAACAATAAGCCTCTGCAGGGGTGGAAAGAGCTTAGCAGAATTGGGAGATCCATTCTGATGTCTTAATACAGTAGAAAAAGGGAGATGACATCTTCACAGAAGTGGATGGGAGCATGGACAG